TGGTCTCTTTACTATGATTCAAATCAATATCATTATTGATTTGAATCGCCGTAAAGAGTTATTGTAGTTAAGGAGTGAAGTCAGTTCGTAAATATCTACCGGGACCACAGTTCATTGCGCAGTGTTGTTGTAAAACAGAGAGGTTATTGTTGTTGTATGTTGTTGACGTGTCACCATGCAGGATGGTGAGAGTCCCGTGTTTCTGGCGGTGAGTGCCTGCAATGGCTTCACCGCTCCGCTCTCTGAACTGCTGGCACACAGCGCTAATCCCAACAGCAAAACAAAGGTTGGTTGCGTCCTACGGATGCTACACAAGCGAAATCATGACAGCTTTCTTCTACGCCACTTATTGTACACATGCGGCCTGGACTGTTCATAGAGTGCAACGTGACAGTCATTGTCTCCAATCATTGCTCAGTCCAATATTACCTGCTGGTGCGTGTGTGTGTGGAGGGGGGGGGGGGGGTCGCAATGATGATGCTGATGATGATAATGATTTTTGTGTTCAATTATTTTTTTATTTGATTTCCCCAATCACTTTAGTTTGATGATATGCATTGTTGACCGTACACATGACTTTTTCATGATCATGATCATGATGTTGTCATGCAGGATGGTCTATCACCACTATTATGTGCCATGAAGAAAGGCTACATCCCAATTGTGCAGCATCTGATCAAGGCTGGTGCTTCTCTCAACGAAAAAGACAACGTGAGTCTTCTTTCTTTTCTTTTTTTAATGTTTGAGACACTCTCAGTCCATGGGAGATTGTAGGCGATTTCTGTGACGTTCGGGTGACGCACTGTACTACATTGCAGTTGTCCTGTTATGTTGATTGTGAAGGCTCTCTCAGAGATGTGTTTGTGTGTGTGTATGTGTGTGTTTGTTTGTGTGTGTATGTATGTAAGTATGTCTGTATGTGTGTGTGTGTTTGCATGTGTGTGTACGGGTTGCTATTACAACACACAGTCGGGCAACACGACATGTCACTATGCAGCTAGGGGCGGCAATGTCAATCTGATGCTGCAGATCTTCAAGAACCAAGCACCGGAGACCATCAACGACCAGAATGCCGTACGTACCACAGCTACCGCCATGCACCGCTATGTACTGATATGTACAAGCACACTGCTGTGTACCACGGCTACTACCATGCACCACTATGTACTGATATGTGCTGCTATGAACTGCTATGTACTGCTATGTACCACAGCCGCTATGCACTCAGCGCCTATGTACATGTATGTACATTGATACCTCGGTTATACGGACACCAGCGTTACTGGCACCTCGGCGTACCAGGCACTGTGACCCTTTGGGCGAGTTTGAGTGGAAATACTACCACTCTTTTTGTCACATTTTGTGGAATTAGTGACATCATAATTTTGCATATCTCTGGCCTTTCCCCATCAAAATGTATGTGATGCAGAGCTATGGACATTTCATAGTTAGGGGCAGTGCCCGGTCCCGGACCGCCCGGATAAACATTGTTTGTGTATTCTATAATGTGCTGTGATGCACTGTGATGCACTGCGATGTCAGGTACCAGGTATTCACATCCTTTCATTGACCCAGGCATCATGCATATACATCCAGTGTTGATACTGTTGTGATGTCTGCTGCTGTCTGACAGGACGGTGACACACCTCTACACGTTGCCGTGGGCAATGGCAATGTCAATATGGTCGCCTATCTACTCAGTGTGGGAGCTGAGGTCAATGTTGTCAATAAGGTTAGAGACTGAGTCACCACACATGCATGTACATGTAATGTATGCATGTTTACACACATACATAATATTATTACATACATGCCATGTACCGTGTATACGCCCGGCACAAGAGAAGCACGCAAATCTGCATATGTACTGCATGTGCAGTTTTGCGCACCCACAGGTTTTCAGGCGGCAGAAATGTTAGAGACGTTAGCTGTGTTTTTCCTTAAGGACAGGGCTTCTGAGCTATCCACTATGCATAGTGGATAGCTCAGAAGCCCTGTCCTTACTTATGGCGCAGTGTTAGGCTATACATGCAGTAGTGACAATGGAGGGTGTAGACTTACTATCAACACTCCTGTCAATAATGGGTGCCCCTGTACTGACTGAATTGGCACTGCAGCCGCTTTATTGCGTAACTTGCTTCCACTCCTTAAAGGAAAACAAGAAACCATAGTTGTGTATGTGTGTGTACGTGTGTGTACGTGTGTGTGTACGTGTGTGTGTGTGTGTATGTGCATGACTGCACTGCAGGCAAACCAATCGCCGATTGAGCAAGCCGAGGCACTGAACAAGGAGAACATTGCACGCATGCTGGTCAAACACCTTGACAAAGGTAGCTGCTGCCTAATATCTCCAGTTGTACTTCTCCTTTGACTCAATATGCTCCCACCCCCCCCCCCCCACACACACCCACCCAGTGTTTTACTGCAATTTGCAGTGGGTGTGACTGTTTGTATTGATTTTCCGATCATGAGACGGGGACGTAGTCAAGAATTTCCCCGGATTGGTCATTACCAATAATTACAAAAGGCAGTCACTAGGGGGCATTGCTGCCTCTACGGGCAGGCTCGATAACACCGCATAGCACTACGGTATGATGTATATACATGACTGTACGGACACATGCACACCTCCCCGTGCACTGAGCCTTAAAGGCACTTTGCTGAGCCTTTCTAGGACTAAGTGTAGTACTGCGTGTGTGCATACTCGTGCATTGCCGTCAACCTCTGCGTATGTGCATGTGTGCATGTGTGTGTGTGCATGTGCATGTGTGCATGTGCATGTGTGCATGTGTATGTGTGTATGTGTGTAGTTAAGAAACCACCGCCACCTCCAGTTGTCGTGGCAACGGAGGACTGCCAGTCAGGCATGCCGGGACATCTACCGTTCGTTGAGGTAAGCATGCACTCCGAACAACATCTACTGTTGTAGTATATGGCTCATGCGCACACACTGTCACAATGCACCTGCATTCCTATGTTATACACAGTCTTCACACGGGGTCCTCTCTGAACAGCATTCATAATTATGACAGTGCCGCATCACTCTCTATAGTCACATATATACATGTAGCATAGTGTGTCCTGCTGGTCCTTGAGCTTGCTCAGGTGCATGAATACATGCGCGGGCGTGCGTATATGTGTGTGTGTGGTGGTGGGGGGGGGGGGGGGGGGGGGGGGGAGGGGGGCAGGTCTATTCTTGTAAATACATGCGTTGCAGTATTACCCTGTACCGATTCAGTCCAAAACCATATTGCATGTAGCCGGCAATGGTGCATGCTCCGCGAGCTACGCGATATTACCCTGTTCCCTCACAGATCCACACTTTCCTCCTGTCCCTGTCCTTGTAGGGAGACCTGATAGCTATCACAGGCAAGCCGTACGATGAATGGTGGGAAGGTTACGTTGTCAGCGACCCGGAGACTAAGGGACTGTTCTGCACTCTGCTGGTCGACCAACAACCTCTAGGTCAGTTAGCTGGTAACTAGTGCCACGGTGGACATTGTGCCCATAGCAGGCACATGCATATATTATTATAGGCCCACGCAGCCTTTGGTCAATCATTGAAAATCAATTAATCAATCAATCAGCATTCACACCGAGGTAATGCAGTGCAATGTGTTGTGAGCTTATTCTAGGATTTCCGGCATTTGATCAAGGCATGTGTAATTGCAATTCTATCTTCTCATTGGAGAGTGATTCACAACCGGGCCGGAATGCCGGGCACATGTAACAGGCTAGGTGAAAACCCCAATGCTGTCAGCCAGTGCTTTGACCAATTGCTGTGATGATAGGGCAGTGTTTGATTCCAAAAGCCTTTGAACCCTTAGAAAACCTCCTCCAATCTTGTCCTTTACAACAACTCTGTTGTATACTGAATTTGCCTCCTGCCGCATGCGTCGGTATCTATATACAGATGAGGATGAGGCAAGAGCAGCCATTGAAGCATCCGGTAGGCCGAAGGAGATCATCTCTCAGTCGGACTACAAGCAAGCCGTGGACATGGTGTCAATGTCATCCGTTGGCACCAAGGTCACTGGCCAGGCAGCCGGGCTTCTCTGTGAACAGGTTAGTGGCTGAGCGAGTCACACATTGTCCTTTTGACCTCTACGAGGTCCCTTTTGGCGCTGTGCTGCGCTCGGGGTTTTTCGCTGCGTGCGTCACTACGCGCGCGGACAATGTGGGTTGTGCCACTGTGAGCATGCGTGTTTGCATGATATTGGCCTTTTCTCTTGTCAACGTTTGTGGCCTTCTTCCTGAACTCTTCTTGCAATCAGAATAAGAAACTGTTCCTCAGAGTTGAGTTGTGTGTACGTTAGTGAGTGAGTGAGTGAGAGGTGAGTGAGTGTATCGAAAGAGTCCATCGTCCTGTCCTGCACCCAACGACAATGGCACTAAAAAGATACTTGGCTGCAGGATTGCTGGAAGCAGTTCTTGATGGGTCCAGCAGTAGCATAGCCATCCATACAGTTTGTGTATGATATGGCTGACGGGTACACACATGACTTTCATACAGTTTGTGTATGCTATGACTGACGGGTACACAAACCCTGTACACTAGGAAACATGTGTTGGTGGACAAAGTGTTCACGGGTGCGGCAATGACCTGATCAAGCGCACCTTTGTTGTCTCGATCATTATTTTCTTTTGTCTTCTTCTTCTCCTCTCTTTGTTATTGTCTATCAGTAGGAGGTGCATTCTGTAAAAAAAGAAAAAAGAAACCTGTTCCGGCGAACCCGGGCTGAATTTGGTACACCGTGAGTCTTGTGTAATGGCGAGGCACTCTGGTGTCTCTCTGCAGGCACACACAATGGAGAAATGGTTGCGGACGCAAACACGTGGCCTAATCCAAAGCCGCATGTCGCTGCTGCGTTTGTGCCGGCACATATCATGTGTGTATTCCCTGTGCAGGAGGATGTACTGCGCTCTGAATGCCCATTGCTAACGGATGATGAGAGAGCTCTGTTTGCATCTCTGAAAGTGCTCCTATCTGAAACCAGTGGATCGTCGCTGGAACAGGCACCACTGCTACGAGCTATCAACAAGGCGATTGATAGAATCGACTCTCAGGTAATGTTACTACAGATAATGCCAACACAATCGAATGCCTAGATGCGGACAATAGACTAATGTTTTTACTATTGTGTGATGCAGTGAGTAAGTGTTGTATAAGCAGAAATGTTCGTCTGGAAGGTAATTTCGTCTTTTTTGTCCAAGGAGCTTTTGGACTAAAAGAAATGGCGGACTGTCGATTTGTCCAGCTTTTCAATCCACTCTGATGGTCAATGGACTTAATTTTCAACTGGACATGCTCCCTTCCTTTGGAGTTGGATCAAATTATTGACCGACTAAATTTTCTCCCTGTACAGTACTAGTGGACCATTTTGGATTCCTGGCTTGGTGCCATGCATATCTGGCTTGGTGCCATGCATATCTGGCTTGGTGCCATGCATATCTGGCTTGGTGCCATGCATATCTGGCTTGGTGCCATGCAATCTGGCTTGGTGCCATGCATATCTGGCTTGGTGTGATGCATATCTGGCCGCTTGCTGTGTAGTTGACGTCCAAGCCGGTGGAAGACGACTTATCAAGTGCAATGAGTGAGGCAGAGCAAGCTGCGGCGGATGCCCTGGCAGCATTTGCTGACTCATCGCCGGCTGGTGACGATGAAGGCAGCGCGGCAGCGGCGAGTGACTCCGCCGACTCCAGCGGTAGGACATTGTTCTATTATCAGACTTTATTTGAAGCATTCTCCAAAAGTAAAATGGATCCTTATCAGGGGAGTTTCCTGGAAGGGTGGATGGGATCATGAAAAGGATGTGATGGATGTGTCAAGGAAAGAGACTGTTTAAAATGAGCATGGTCACATGATGGAATGTCATATGAATGACGTCATTATGGTTGGAGATAATGTCATAATGAGGTCATGACATGTTACATGTAAATGCTAGGTTCCAGTACAGAAGTGTGATATGGCTGCCGCTAACTGGTTACAGCGAGATGTGGTGATGTGCAGTGCTAGTGGTTGGGTGCATTTCGGTTCTGTAGTGGTAGGGCCTCGGAGTATGTTATGCAGTGGCAGACTAAGGATCATGTTTGCAGTGACACTGGACACATTCTGTTTGATGATGTTCTCCTAGGCAAGGTCAAGATTGTGGAGCCGAGTATTTCCGCAGAAGAAATGGAAGTACTCAAGACGTCTTCAGACGCACAGAAAGAACAGGTACATTGTACATGTTAGTGCTTGCTATCTGCCGCATGGTCACCATGACGGCAACGGGTATCATGGCAAACTATGTACCAGTTTCCCCTTCTGCAGCAGGTCAGGGGCGCTTTGCTTGCAGGGGTGCAGTGCTATGCAATTCACTTCCTGGTAACCTCCTCCGTGTCATTCATCATGCCCAGCAGTACCGCGCACGCAGATCATCCCCTACACCCTTAAACTGAGAAAAAGTAAAAAAATCTGTTGATCCCTCCACACATGATCTCCCAGTATGCTGAAACATTTTAAATTCTCATTCTCATTCCCATCCTCGTTAACATTAATATGTTGTGTATATTCTCCCTATGGTCATAGCCATCATCACATTCGCTCTCATGTTATTGGGTTCTTGCCCGTTTGAAGTTGCGAATTCAAATAGATACAAACCTACTGTATTAATCTGCATGGTACTGGACACTAGTGACTAGTGCATCCATGCTGTTCTCACTGTGCTGCTGTGTGTGTTTGTCTGCGTGCGTGTGCCCGCGTGCGCACATGCTAACTATTGCTGAATTACATAACAATATGCATGTTTGTGGTGTATTTGTCATGACGTCTCGCCACAGCTTGCCGACTTCAAGGAGATGGTAACGAGCTCTGCTCAACAGTTTGCCTTTGCCGTGAGACTCATGCAGAAACTCTCCGAAGTCTTGCTAGCGTTCAAGGTGAGTTCAGTTAGCTTTTATAATGATGGCGGGAAGATTTTGCTGCCAAAGTATGTGCACTGGTTTAGACCATAGAAACCATTGATGAGTGCAGAAATTCTTGTATATAGGGTAGAAAACCTTGGTATTACAATAGAAAACATTGGTAAGGATAGAAAACCTTGGGAAGGACTGAAAACCTTGGTAAGGATTGAAAACCTTGGTAAGGATTGAAAACCTTGGTAAGGATTGAAAACCTTGGTAAGGATTGAAAACCTTGGTAAGGATAGAAAACCTTGGTAAGGATAGAAAACCTTGGTAAGGATTGAAAACCTTGGTAAGGATAGAAAACCTTGGTAAGGATAGAAAACCTTGATTTGCTCACTGAGCAATACAATCTTTCCATTTTCTTTCTTCTGTTTTATTTTCAATTTAATCCTCCCTACCCAATCTCCCTTTGGTGCGTCCATAGAGCTATGAAGCCGAGACCTCTGGTCGGCGGAGCTTAATGGGCCCCACCACCACACTCCATCATTCACCCTAGTGTCTGGAGATATGTGGATTTTGTAGAAAAAAAAGAAAAAAATAAGGGTACAAAACTTTGGTAAGGATAGACAACCTTGGTAAGACTTCTGGTTGAATGTAAGGAGTAGGGAAGCCTTGGTTTAAGTTGGTTAGGTTAAAAACCTTTTTTTGCAGCCTTCAGCCATCAGCCTATAGGCTGCATATAAACTGGCCAATCTGTCTCCCAGGCTCTATCTGGTCACTGACTGGTGTAATGGAGGCTACCCAGGTGATGTCACATGACATGAATGCATTGCCTGATAATCATGGTATGAATTTCATCCGCATACTAGGACTCCTATATCCCTGATGATGCCCTCCTGGGCGAAAATTTGGACAAAATCGTGGAGCGCTTGGGTTGCAATGAAGCCGAGACCCTATGGTCGGTCAAGCTGCCCCTGCCTCTCCCCCACTCCTCCCATTCCGTATGTCTCATCGCTGCCTTGCTGCTTTGTGCCGTCAAATGGTGTGTGTTTTTGTAACAAAAATAACTAAAACAAAAAACAAAACAATCTATTGTACGTGGTGTAGCCAAGCATGTGTTGTGAGTTGGGTGTACTGAAAATATGACAAGGCTACAGTGGAGTTTCAAAGTTCTTAAAAAAATACTGGGACATATATGGGCAATGTGTCAAGGCTTTCTGGCTGTTTCCCACCTCCGTATGCTGTTGCTTGTTGCGACTTCTTTCTTTTGCGTATATTGAGGCAGGAGGTCGGCAAGCATGGATATCCTGTGTAGATGTGTTACAAGTGTGTATGTGGGGAGGGGGGGGGGGGGCGCTTGATGGGGAACATAGCCAGCAATCGCATGTCATCTCGTACATTGAAAATCAACATAATTTTGCGAATCGACCTTTTTTTCAGGATCACTTTTCAACGAGGACGAAGCAAAGTCGGCCGAACGAAGCCTAGAGGAAGAAAATCACCCTCTCCACTTCACCATCACGATACTGACATAGATACGAGATGAAGCAACTAAAAAATTCACAAGAAAACTGTACGACCATCATCGCGCTGACTTTGGTCTGACTTTGGTCTGAGAATTTCTATCACGATCAAAAATGTACGAGGAGCACTCAAAAATCAGCCACAGACGTACCTTTATCGCTCTCTACTCCTTTTTCAAGGCACAAAAGTCGACTCTCCACTTTCAAACCAGGAACCAGACATACCAGTGGTCCTTTTCAGCTGCTCCACGAGCGCAGGAAATGTTCACCAAGGGGCGCAGAGCAGCATCCATTCCAGAAAAAGAGCTAAAATACGAGTGAGACTGCATGCCTGAGTACATGAGTACATGTATGAGTACATGCAGAAAATAGTCAATTTCAGCGTTTCTGCTCCAAACAGCAACTAGCTTCGACTAGAAACAAAGATTACACCAAAGGATCAAACAACAACCATTTTCTGCAGTTTTTTTGCAGATGGCTTCCTTGTGCTTGGCCCAGCACGCCAAAAATCACACCTCGGAGGAGTACAAAAATTACAACTCTCAGATGTCCTTGATTGCTGGCCATGTTCACTGCATGCATACACCACATGATAACAACATGCCGTGTTGTGTCCGCTATGCTGTGTCCGCTGTGTTGTGTGGACTGTGTCCTGGCCCGCTGGCAGTGTCTAGCATGTGGTCTGGAGAAACGTGAGGTGGACGACATTGACAAGGCCTGCAGCAGCGTCGAACTGCTAGGAACACGAATGGCTTTGCCTGGTATGTATACATTATTGTACAACGTGTGTGTGTGGGGGGGGGGGGGGGGGGGCGTGTGAGTGCATGTTTGTATGTGCATATATGTATGTGTATGTGTATGTGTATGTGTGGGTGGTAGTGCGTGTGTTTGTACATGTGTGAGTGTGTGCATGCTTGCGAGATGATCACCATACTTTGAAGTACATGTATATTCATGTAAGGTACCAACCTAGCACTGCACGTGTGCCAAGTGAACTCTGGACTGCCGCAGTACACATGCAGTACACATGCAGTACCAAAGACCACTCTGGACGTGGATGTCATGAGCGGTCACTTTCTCTGCAGTGCATGAACACGAGATCACCAAGATGGGTTTGCACTGTTGACCTGGTGTTAATAGTGTGGACAGTATGAATCAGTATGGACTTCACTATCGCACACGACTGTAGCTTGTTGACTTTAGACAGATATTGGCGCATACTGGTGCAGTGTCCAAACCGTTGAATTTGTTCTGTTCATAGTGGGATGGTCTAAGACCATGATTGAGAAACAGAGGGTACCAGGTTCAAGTCCTGCTTGGAAGCGGAAGGAATTTTTCCAGCCGTGCTGCGACCCACAGTTAATTGGGAACTCGTGGCCTGGCACGAGGGTAACATGGATGCAGCTAATGGGATTTCGGTCTTTGACCACTTGGTGGTGGGTCTGATCTACTCACCTCCCACCGTTTAGGCGCTGCATCTGCGCCTTTGATCCTAGAGGGTGGTGGCGTTCCCACGGCGGATGCGGAAAACTCGGCTTCCAGCCGAGTCTCACGCGAACCGTGAAAAAAAAAATTTTTTTTTTTTTATACGGTGGTGATTGTTTTGTGTGTTTACCGCTACAGCTGCATGCCTTGATGAACCAATCAAGGGACGGGCAACAAAGGCACAACTTGCAAAGAAGGAGAAGCTTCATGATCAGGTAAGGCATGTGAATCTTGGCGGACTGTTTAATCTAGTGCTCAAAGGAGCACACCGAGTACTCGAGTACTCGCTCGTGGAATACTCGACTCGAAATCAAAAGGGGGCTCGATACTCGATAAAATGATAACACACGCATACAGTACAGGATTGTATGCTGTCCCGGCTTTTCTGCAAAGCACAAACCAACAAAGTCCGGTGAGATAGTTCTTTTCGATGAAGTCGGAGCTGTGCTTCTGTTACTGGAAGTTTTTAGGTACGTAGATGCAAGTGAGAGAGAGAAAAAAGAGTCCGCTCCGTACGGCGCTTGCTGTACGATCCTGTATCTAGTCTACACGCATACACATGCTCAACAAACACGCTTTTTCTGTAGACAATTGTGTTCTTGTTTATTGGCTTTCTGCCATGGTCGACGTAAAGAACTACATGGAATGTTTTGACGCATGTGTCCTGTGTTTATGTGCTTGCTTTGCTAGATTCGCCGCATAGCCAACTTGTGTCCGTCTGTCACTGCAGTGGATGATATCTGTCTAGGCCTAGCGCAGGCACTGGTGAATCGGTACGACCTGCAAATCACCCAGGTATGCCTTACTTGCGCCAACTTGGTCTATGTGTGTGGGGGGGGGGGGGGAGGGGGGGAGGTATGTGTCCCGTTGAATGGTGCAATCCCAGCACAAGTTGCTATGGCTTCTGCTGATGGGCATCAAAAAGTTCAAAGGTCAAAAGTGTGTGTGTGTGTGTGTGTGTGTGTGTGTGTGTGTGTGTGTGTGTGTGTGTGTGTGTGTGTGTTTGTTTCCTCTCTGTGTATATACCTTGCTGTCATTGGCACACATGCACGCACCGGCCTGCAGTTGATGTATGAAGGTGCTGTACAGCTGGCTGAAGGAGTAGTCATGCAACTGCTGGAGTACATCCTGGTCGACTGCCCGGATGAGCAGAATCTAGACACCATCGTGCCGTCGCTTGTGCAGTAAGTATTGCCATCGTGTGTGCACCAGGCAGACATTACAATATTCAAACGCTGCTGAATCACACACAGCAACGGCCTGTTATTCATGACATGTACTGTACATGTTATAATTCTGTGCTGAAAAATTCATCATGGAGTTATGAAGCTGCAGCATGCCTCACACTTATTACGCAAGTACTACACCTAGTGAGGAATTGGTAGCTGATCACAAGAAACGTTAGAGCTTTTGTCGTGAATAAGGAATGGGCAGTTGTGTCGACACTTCTCACACTACTTAATGTCTGACAGTTAGTGTATGGTCTCTGCTGCCAACGCAATCACACACATTACTCATACACTACATCATACAATATCTTGGCAGTGCCGTGCACAATGGGTGTATGTGCTGTCATGCATTGCCATAGTGCCTGTACCATTAAGCACGAATGCCCGGCCGGCATGGCTGGGCTATGGTACAATGCATCATCCTTGCACCTCGGAAGTGGGTTTATTGTGCATGTAGTCGGTCATAACTCCCTGAGTGACTGTCTTGTTTATTTAATTTTAATTTTATTTCACCATCCAATGGCAGAAGCCAATGCAAAGGAGGGGGAGTTAGCCAGCCATGGTTCATGTACATTCTTGTGCACTCATGTACATCCCTCCTTTGCTGCTTTCCTTCCATATTCGTCTTCATGTTGTTGGGCCAGTACAGGTTTGATAAGGACTATACAAACACTTTGTATAAAAAATAAAAAATAAAAAAAACTATCCTGTGCACTCATGTACATATACAGGAATGTACATTCATTCCAGTACATTCCAGTACATTCCTGAATATTCCAGTACATTCCAGTACTTATTACCCCATGTCAGTAACTTTATTGGAAAGGCTTCCTGTCTGAAGCCTTTCCATACTGGTGAAAAAAACAAAAAACACAAAAACAAAAACAAAACATTCCAGTACATGATTCCTGTGTGCGTGTGTCTGCTCTACACTTGTCCGCAGTGCCATAGTGTTTGCACGTCGCTCAGCGCATACCTCACAGCTACTCAAGAAAGAGGGTATCCCCTGCCAGCCCAGCAAGATCGTGGGCAAAGCTCACACGACATGGAGCATTGACGGTGTCCTCCGCAAGACTGGTATCCTAACACCGGAAGGAAGGTATGTCACAGTACCTGTGTTGGAGGTACATTGGTGCTGTAGTAGTAGAATGATGTCTCATGCTGCTCATAATGTTCACATGCAGTGTTCACAGGTAGTTTGAAGCCATTAGACACCCTTAGCAAACAACGGTACTCGTACCTTGATCACCCAAATAGCGTTGAAGCTGCAGCGTATAAGCGTTATGGGGTCTGATTTATCGTTGTGACCAACGGTACGTGTTTTGGCCAAATATTGCATAGTCCGTACGCATTTCACCTTGTATCGCGTATA